AAGCAACTAGGGTTCAAGTTGGGTAATTACTCTCTCGAGGTTTAACCCTTTAATTGGGACTATCAAATCTCTTGAGTCCATCCCAATTCCTTGTTGAGTCAATTTTGGAGACTTGGGTTCTCTTTCTCAAGAAGAGCCTAAGTCAACTTAGCACAAACTAGTGTTTGCAACCACTAATTCATAAATTAAACCATAAAATTGACCCAAATAACAAACACCCATATTCAATCTGAAGAGAAAGACGATATTTCTTAGCCACACTCGTGAGACGATATTTCTTAGCCACCTCGAGAGAGTAATTACCCACACTCGTGAGACGATATTTCTTAGCCATTTCAGAGAAATAGATGAAGAGAAAGACATATTAATTAATTACTAAAGTAATTACAAAGTTTCAATGATTAAAACCACGTAAAGATGCCAAAAATGGCTAAGAAATATCGTCTCACGAGCGCAGCTACAGTATTGTAATATCTGATACCCTAAAAATGAAAAAATATTCTATTTATACTAAGCTAGAAAAACTAGACAAAAATGCCCTTGCGGGGTCTGTGCGGACCACACAAAATGGTGTGCGGCCGCACTAGGCTCTTGACTCTGAAAAATTAACTCTCTGAACCCAGGCTCCGCGGACCATACAAAATGGACTGCGGCCGCGGAGGCATCTAGCGCGGTCCGCACAAGCACGACCGCGGACCGCACATGCTTGAACCTTGACACTTGACATCTCTCTGAAGTTTACTTCCGCGGACCGCATAAAATGGTAGTGCGGCCGCAGTGCCTTCAGTGCGGGCCGCGTAATATCTACTGTGGCCGCACTGCTTTGATGCCTTAAAATTCCAGTCTCTGAATCTCTCTAGTGCGGACCGCACAAAGTGTAGTGCGGCCGCACTAGGCTTATTTGTCCTGAGTTGTCTTGTCTTTGATACTTGTGCAGGTTTCACTCCTTTTGAGCCGATTTTTGACAACTCGTCACTTTGTTGATCAAACCTGCAATCAAGCACAACTTATGAGCCTTTTAGGACTATTTTGTAAGAATTTATAATCAAAGCGTAAGCAAGAAGGAGCATGAAACACGTCAAAATCCCTAGTTATCAGTAAGTGGCTTGCCTAACCTTGTGTGGGGGAACTCCCCTTAGGATTTGGTACTGTTTGATATATGAATGTTGTGTACGTGAGGTGACTAGTGCATACACGGGCTAATTGTTGAAAACCCTCATTTTCATTAAGTAAATATCTATGTTCTCCTTTAATTGAGCAAGTACTAGTATATGTAGCCATCTTGTTTATCTAAGAAAGCATGGTTACCTTAACTGCCTACCTGGACTTTGTGCAGCATGTTAAGAGTAAGAATTACATGTCTTCTTTGATACGAATATAAATCAAAACTGTAGATTTCCTTATTGAAACTATTTTTTATGTTGAATGAGTTGTGTATTTACTTTGGGACTACGGAATGCTATTCCGAGAGACCCCCCTGCACGTCTATGTTTAGGACTACGAGATGGTATCCCGAGAGATTCCCCTATACTTTGTGTAGTGAGTTGTTATTTTTCTGTGATTTCTTTTTTGTTGACTGTTAGCATTTATCTCTACTACGATATTTTATACTGTTTTATCTTATTATATATATAAACCAGTTGGGCCTGACCTGATCTCGTCACTACTCGACCGAGGTTAGGCTTGGTACTTACTAGGTACCTCTGTGGGGTACTCATGCCCTTTCCTGCACATGTTTTTCGTGTGCAGATCTAGGTACCTCTTCCCAACCATATTTCCAATGAGGCGAGGTGATCTTAGAGAATTCGAGGTATATCTGCCGCGTCCGCAGACCTAAAAGTCCCTCTCCACTCTTCCTTAAGTTAAGACTCCCTGTATTTTCTTCGTTGATAGTTTTTATGGAGTTTAGAAACACTATTTACTTCTGTAGCTTGTGACTCATGATATTTCGGGTTTTGGGAGTATTTATGATCAGTTCGAGAGTGTTTATTGTATATGCTGAGCGACATCTAAACTTCTTAATTAAATTTAACTGTTAAATTGTTAGATTTCATGTTTTTCATTTTATTTCCTCAAATTGTTAGGCTTACCTAGTCGTAGAGACTAGGTGCCGTCACGACAGTTCCGGAGGGAGAACTTGGGTCGTGACAGAATCATGCGCAATATTTGGCTAGAAGCCAATGTATCTGTGACTTTTCCTGATTTGAATTATGACAACCTACTTGGTGAGATCCACTATATATATATGCTCCGGTTAAGGAGGGAATTTCTAATGGAGAGATTGAGTTTATTGAAAGAGGAGGATTGTACCGCGTATTTATGCTCGTTTATTTGTTTTGCCTCATATCTGCTTATCATTATTGTACCTAATATTATTGGACCACTAGTAAGTGTCGATGCCGACCCCTCGTCACTACTCCTCAGGGGTTAGGCAGCGACTTAGGTGAGCTGCATTCTATATTACGACCCGCAGCCAGCAGAGTCTCCTTCAGAGTATTTATATTTCTCCTGTCCAATTTGTATTCTGGACAGTTGCTGTATTTTATTTTATATTCTTTGTTGATGCTCATGCACTTGTGACACCGGATTTTGGGGTGATTATGGGTTGTTCGGCATTGAAATTGTAAAAATATTTTTATTTACTCTAGAAATTTCATCTTTTACTATTTAATTGAAGGAAATTATGATTTCAAATACTAAAATGAGTAATTAAGTTAATTATTTATTGTTGGCTTGCCTGACAACGGTGTCCGACGCCATCACGACCTTTAGTGAATTTTGGATCGTGATAAAGGTAGTAAATTACATGTACTAATTAAGCATTAGTTATACTTTGTTTGGTTATTCTTTTGTGTGTCCAATGTTAAAGGCATAATTAAGTGAAAACAAAGTATATTTTCTCTAGCAACTTATATTTTTGGATGAGATGATCACACAATTTCAATATAATTTTATAGCAGGCGAAGGTCTTGGGAATAGAATGCAGAATAATAATTAGTAATACATGAATTAAGATATTTAAATGACAAAAACAAAACCTCGTGATAGTGAACAAACCCTTGTGTTAACATATATACTGGTGGTAACATTTGGTCAGGATGAAGCTCCCGTTTGGCCATATAATTTGGGAGTTTTATTCTGTCAAATTTTATTTTCAAATATTTGTGTTTATAAATTTTAACTATTTTTGGTAGATTTTTGAAAACAAAATCTTCAAATCTCAAAAACAGCTCTAAATTAGTTTTTGAAGTTTTTTACTCATAAAATCTTCAAATTCTTCACAAGTAAAATATATGTCCAAACAGATATTCATCTTTCAAAAATTATTTTTCATCTCATTTTAGCAAACTTATTTCTTCAAGTTTCAACCAAATCTATGTTCAAATGCTAGCGAAGTAGCCACCAATTTTTGGACCCGGTATCCAAATAATTTGATCTATTAGCACTGTTTGAGTCAATCTCGAATGTCAACATTATCGAGCTACAAAAACGAGATCTATGAATAAAGATTGATAAGCGCGTAGGTGCATGTTACAATACCAAAAGGTGCCATCTACTCATTAGTTTCCTCTTTACCAAAAAGAAGAGAAGGGTAATTAAACACCAAACAAAAAGCACAAATAACAAAAGCTAAAAAAAGAGTAGTAGGGTAAGCAACACCATACCAAAAGCTGCTCACTCACATTCATTCATTCATTCACTGTCTACTTCTTTCTTTCCTCTTATTCAACAATAACACAATGATAGAAGAACACCAACGCCGTGGACCACCGCACGGCGTTCTCTTAGCAGTGGTGATAGTAGCAGTCATGTTAGTACCAACACTGCTCGGAGAAAATGGTGAAGCCATTACTGACTTCATCTCCGACCTTCTTACCCCGGTTGGTCTTCTCCTCCTGCCCATTATTCTTCTCCTTACTATACAGTTCCTTTCCTCTGACAGTGGTTCATTCATCTCTAGCATTTTCTCTACCGGTGAACCTAACTCTATCCACCGTGTTAGTGGCTCCCCCGTTGGCGTTGCGTTCTTTCTTGCCCTCATATTGTTCCTTCTCTACAACCGTGTTTCCATCTTCGGCGGCGATGATGATTCCGGCGACTGAAGTTAATAGTAACGCCGTGTTTGGTTAGATCTATATTGTTAGTCATTTCTTTCGTTGTGGTTGTCCCTTTTTCTTTTTTTTGGTTTTTGATTTTGTTTTTTGACGTTTACTTTTGATGTTTTTTGCGTAAATAGTATAGGGTAAACTATTGTACGGACGTAGTAAACATTGTCGACAAGCCCATGGCATGTACGGAAAAGTATGAAACTGCATGTAAGTTTCCCGAAATGCCACTAGTGAGATTGATTGATGTATACGAGTAAGTTTCTATTGGATTGATCGAACATTCAACAGCTGCTCTGACCTCAAATTTTGCTATGTTTCAATTTCGAACTAGTTATAGTTAATTATACGAATCCTTTTTTTTTTGATACATATTTATTAATTACTCCTTCCTATGTCCTAATTTATGCGAATGGATCTGGAATATAAAGGTCAAACAAACTTTATTTTTGCTGTAAATTCGAGTATAGCTACTTAGTATTTTCAAGGGAAAATGATAATTGTACAGCAGCTTTTAAAATAATAGCTGAAAAATATATATTTTGGTATATATATACATTTTTATATGTTATATACAAATAATATATAAATTATATATTTTTGCGGCTACCATACGTAAATAATTTTAACCATGGGCTAAAAGTGATCTTTGCCTTTTTTTAATATAAACTTTACATATTTATAAAACTACATAAAATACATGAAAAGTCTTACACGCAAATATAGCTAATGATTTAAAATATCTCAAAAAAGTTTGAGAAATTCGTAATCAATGACAAACTATTTAACACCCCAAGTAATAACATATTTACATAAAATGGAATGAAGGAAGTATATTTTATCAATAGATGTTTTATTCAAATATTAAATATTTTAGTTTTCTTTTAAAGTAGATCCTATTGCTTTAAAGCTACAGATTTTCGAGAACACACACATTGTACTAACTCAATCTTGAAGAAAAGGTGCATTGGATACTTTTGGGGGTATTACTGTCATTATATCACTGATAAAATACGATCATGAGAGTTTAATTCATATTCGCGAGAGTAGTTGCAGTAGTTCATTTTCTGGTTGCTCGTATTTATTCTTTTATTGGGTATTCAATGGCATAAGGAAATTATGGTAAATTTTCGTCATAATCAGGGAAAGTGGACTGGTAGTTGGTAACCGCCGGCTAGTCCAGCTGTCACTGTCGACGGCGGCTGTGGCCCGGCGGCTGTGGCCCGAGGGAGTTGTTGTTGGACTTTAAGTCATTGGACTTTAAAGTAGAAGAAGTGTGAATTGGAAATGGAGGGAAATAAAATGGAGAGAAAAATAAAAATTTGAAGAAGTGAACTTTTGTCTTGCACTTTGTCCCTCGTTGGTGATGGACAATCACATTTGTGTGCTTATCTATAGAATCACTTCTTAAAGCTCTTAAAAGGAGTTGAAGAGAATGAACCCTCGCGCCGTCGTCGTCGCTCGCTCGGCTCGGCTTCAGCTTCGGAAAATGATCGATAAGATTATTTTTGGACAAAATTTATTTAATTATTTAATAATTAATTAAATGTCAAATCACTGCTGAAAATACGCCAGAACCCTGCTGAAGATTCAGAGGGACAACCGCCGGCTAGTCTAGCTGTCACTGTGGCCCGAGGGAGTTGTTGTTGGACTTTAAGCCATTGGGCTTTAAAGTAGAAGAAGTGTGAATTGGAAATGGAGGAAAATAAAATGGAGGAAAAAATAAAAATTTGAAGAAGTGAACTTTTGTCTTGCACTTTGTCCCTCATTGGTGAGGGACAATCACATTTGTGTGCTTATATATAGAATGTCTATAGCGTCATGGAAACTTCAAAAGCATTATGGAATGCGCTTGAGAAGAAGTACAAGACTGAGGATGCCGGACTTAAGAAGTTTGTGGCTGCTAGATTTTTGGATTTCAAGATGATTGACACTAGGTCGGTCATAACTCAAGTCCAAGAATTACAAGTCATTGTGCATGACCTCCTTGCTGAAGGTATGACCCGAATCAATAAGTTTATTAATAAGATTTATCTTATTATTAATTTTGAATCTATTGCTGAAGGTATGGTCATAAATGAGGCTTTTCAAGTCGCCGCTTTCATTGAGAAATTACCTCCGTTGTGGAAAGATTTTAAGAACTATCTAAAACACAAGCGGAAGGAGATGACACTTGGAGACTTGATTGTGTGTTTGAGGATAGAAGAAGACAACAAAAATGCTGAAAAGAAGTCACGTGGGAACTCGACAATAATGGGGTCTAACATTGTTGAGGAGGCGCCACAAACCAAGAAGAAAAGAAGGCTTCTGGACCAAAGAACTACCCAAGCAAGAAGAAGTTCAAGGGTAATTGCCACAACTGTGGAAAATCTGGGCATAAGGCCGTGGATTGTCGTGCACCAAAGAATGATAAGAAGAAGAAGAATCAAGCTAACATGGTTGAAAAAGCTGAAGAAATGGAGGACTTGTGTGCCATGTTGTCTGAATGCAACTTGGTAGGAAATCCTAAAGAATGGTGGATAGATTCTGGAGCCACCCGTCATGTTTGTGCTAACAAGGAGTTATTTTCTTCTTATGCCCCCGCAGGACCCGACGAGACAATTTTCATGGGAAATTCGTCTACAGCCAAAATTGAAGGAGTTGGCAAGATTGCGTTGAAGATGACGTCGGGAAAAATAGTGACTCTAAACCAAGTTCTCCATGTTCCAGAAATTCGCAAGAATCTTGTGTCTACCTCACTTCTTGTCAAGAATGGATTCAAATGTATTTTTGTTTCTAATAGTGTTGTACTAAGTAAGAATGATATGTATGTAGGAAAAGGTTACCTGAATGAGGGCCTTTTTAAGCTAAATGTAATAGCAGTTCCTATCAATAAAGTTAATGCTTCTTCTTACTTACTTGAGTCAAACACTTTATGGCATTCACGCTTAGGTCACGTCAACTTCAAAACATTGCGAAAAATGATAAATTTAGAAGTATTGCCAAAATTTGATTGCATTAATTCCAAATGTCAAATATGTGTGGAATCAAAGTATGCTAAGCATCCTTATAAGTCCGTTGAAAGGAATTCAAGTCCTTTAGACTTAATTCACACAGATATTTGTGACATGAAGTCAACACCATCTCGCGGTGGAAAAAAGTATTTTATTACTTTTATTGACGATAGCACGAGATATTGCTATGTTTATTTACTTAATAGTAAAGATGAGGCACTTGATGCTTTCAAGCAATACAAGAGTGAAGTTGAAACACAACTAAACAAAAAAAAAATCAAAATGATAAGAAGTGATAGGGGTGGCGAATATGAATCTCCTTTTGAAGAAATATGTTTGGAATATGGCATTATTCACCAAACAACTGCCCCTTACTCTCCACAATCTAACAGAATTGCGGAGAGAAAGAATCGAACATTGAAGGAGATGATGAATGCGTTACTGATAAGTTCTGGCTTACCACAGAACTTGTGGGGGGAAGCTATACTTACAGCTAACCGAATAATCAACCGTGTACCTCATAGTAAAACACAGTCCATTCCTTATGAAAAGTGGAAAGGAAGGAAGCCCAACTTGAAATACTTCAAAGTGTGGGGGTGTCTAGCTAAGGTACAAGTTCCTAAACCTAAAAGGGTTAAGATAGGTCCAAAAACGGTTGATTGTGTATTTATTGGATATGTAATCAATAGCAAGGCATATCGTTTTCTGGTTCATAAGTCAGAAAATCCGGAGATTCACGTTAATACGATAATAGAATCAGATAATGCTGAATTCTTTGAAACTATTTATCCGTATAAAAAGGAAAGAGAAGTGACATACCAAAAGTCAAAACGACCTCGGGAGGAAATAACAGATGGTATGCCTAATGAGGAAAATCCGAGAAGAAGTAAACGTCAACGGACATCTACTTCATTCGGTCCAGGTTTTCTGACATTTCTGTTAGAAAATGAACCTCATACCTTCAAGGAAGCAATGTCTTCATCAGAAGCACAATATTGGAAAGAAGCGGTCAATAGTGAAATAGAATCCATATTGAGCAACCATACATGGGAATTGGTTGACCTTCCTCCAGGTAATAAAACATTGGGTTCTAAATGAATTTTCAAGAAGAAAATGAAAGACGATGGTACTATTGACAAATACAAGGCAAGACTTGTTGTCAAAGGATTTAGACAGCGAGAAGGTCTTGACCATTTTGACACATACTCGCCGGTAACAAGAATTACATCCATTCGGATGCTAATAGCGTTAGCCGCCTTGTATGATCTTCAAATCCATCAAATGGATGTAAAAACAGCCTTCTTAAATGGTGATTTAGAGGAAGAAATCTACATGGACCAACCTAAAGGGTTTGTGGTTTCGGGAAAAGAAAAGAAGGTGTGTCATCTTGTTAAGTCTCTTTATGGACTAAAACAAGCACCCAAGCAATGGCATGCGAAATTTGACCAAACAATGTTGTCAAATGGCTTTAAGATTAATGAATGTGATAAATGTGTTTACATTAAGAACGTTCCAAATCATATAGTCATTGTTTGCTTATATGTTGATGATATGCTAATAATGAGCAAAGACATTGCCGACATTCAAGCTACTAAGCGCATGCTTGCTAGTAAGTTTGATATGAAAGACTTAGGAGTTGCCGATGTAATTCTAGGAATTAAAATCAAGAGGACTCCTCAGGGTCTAGCTTTGTCTCAATCACATTACGTGAAAATGGTACTTGAAAAATTCAAACATTTGGAATTTAGAAGTACAAGAACTCCAATTGACTTAAATCATCATCTTATAAAGAATAAAGGTGAAAGTACGTCTCAATTGGAGTATGCTCGTGTGTTGGGAAGCTTAATGTACATCATGAATTGTACACGACCTGATATAGCTTGTGCGATAAGTAAACTTAGTCGATTCACAAGTAATTCCAACAAACATCACTGGGTAGCAATGAAACGAGTTCTGGGATATTTGGAATATACCCAAGACTACGCTTTGCATTACAATAAATATCCTGCGGTTATTGAAGGATATAGTGATGCAAATTGGATAACCGGCTCAACAGAAACAAAGTCCACAAGTGGATATGTTTTTACTGTTGGTGGAGGAGCAGTATCTTGGAAGTCTTCCAAACAAACGTGCATCGCTCGCTCTACAATGGAATCAGAGTTTATAGCTTTGGATAAAGCCGGTGAAGAAGCTGAATGGCTTCGAAATTTCTTAGAAGACATTACGTTCTGGCCAAAACCTTTGGCTCCTATTTGCATACATTGCGATAGTGAGGCTGCAATAGGACGGGCAGGGAG